ACAAGACAAGGACCATCACCATCATCATCCAAGAATGGTCGTGACAAATTATATTGTGAGAATTGCAATTGATTAGGGCATACAAAGGATAGGTGTTTAAAACTACATGGGAAGGAGCACGTTCTTAGCCGAGGAGGCGGTTCTCGCAACATGATACATCATCAAGCACATGTTGCTACACATGCCCATGATACTGAAAGATTTGAAAAGAGGGGAACTAATCTTTCCTCCTTCAGTCTGAATGATGTGGAACGGTTGAAGTCTATGCTTGACTCCATGAGTAAGCCTTCTGGTTCTGGGTCTCTAGCTGTTACTGGTAAGAGTTTATGTTCCCGATCTTTTACTGTTTGTGGTAATATCCCTAGGAATTCGTGGATTCTTGACTTTGGTGCTACTAATTATATGACATTTGATTCCACATTATTATGCTCTTATACCACACCTTCGAGTATTCCTTATATCATTGTTGCTGATGGCTCTCATGCTTGTGTTGTTGGCACTAGAAATATCGACTTGCAACCTCCATTCCAGTTGCAATCTGTGCTTCATGTTCCCACACTTTCTGACAATTTAATTTCCATCCATAAGCTTACCCGTGATGAGAATTGTAAAGTAATGTTTTTTACGTCCCATTGTGTTTTTCAGGACCTTACCACAGGACAAACGATTGGAATTGCTAAGGAAAAAGAAGGGTTATACTACTTTTATGATGACCATCCAAAGGTGTTGTCATCTTGTCTCCAGTCTCAGTCTTCCTCTTCAGCCTCACAAATTTGGCTTCAGCACAAGCATCTCGGTCATCCTCCATTTTATATAATTAAGTCTATGTTTCCTTCAATTTTCTTACACCATTTTGTTGAGTCTTTTAAGTGTGATGTTTGTCAGTTGGAAAAACACAACCGTGTATCTTTTCCTTCCAGTTTTAATAAAAGTGATGAATCTTTTGATGTGATTCATTCTGATGTCTGGGGACCTGTCTCTACCTCAAATATTTTTGGTGCAAAATGGTTTGTCTCATTTATTGATGATTGTACTTGGGTAAATTGGATTTTCTTGATGAATACTGAATCCGAAGTACCACAAATATTTATCTTTTATAATAGGGTACAAACATAATTTGGAAAAAGGTATAAAAAGAATTTATTCTGACAATGGTAAAGAATATGTCAATCATACTTTCCAACTTCACTACCTCTTATTGGGGAGAGGCGTTTCTTACTACCGCCTATCTGATTAACCGAGTCTCATCTCGAGTGTTAGTTAATATTAGTCTGACTAAATTTATGCTCTCACATTTTCCACGTGTTCCTATCTTACATACGCTTGAGTCTCGCGTGTTTGGTTATGTTGCTTTTGTTCATGTTCACAAACAATATTGCAACAAGTTGGATCCCCGTGCTGTTAGATGTATCTTTCTAGGTTATGCACCCACCAAAAGAGGGTACAAATGTTATCATCCTCCGAGTCGGGAATTCTTTGTCTCCAAAGATGTCACCGTTCATGAAAATGTGTCATATTTCACTCGTTATCAGTCTCAAGGGGAGAACATTAGTGACTTAGAGTCTGAGTCCGAGTTTCTAACCCTTAGTCCTAGCCTCCCTAGAGCACCTATCAGTGTTCCCTATCTTCCCTCTCTTGAACCTGAGTTGTCACCTAGTTTGAGTTTGAGTCTTAGTTCAACACCTGAATTTGAGCCAGTAATTGTTCCTAGTCCTTCAATGTCTTCTGTTTCACAAGAATTAACACCTCCAACACCAACTCTAGTGTATCAGAGGAGAAGTAAACTTGACCTTCTCCAAAAATAAATTCAATCATATGAGCCAGAGGTAAGTACTAAAAGTGATTCCTCCAATGATGATTGTCTCATTTTTTATACTTGTGACACTAATCTAGTTGATTTACCCATTTCTTTGAGGAAGGATAAAAGATATTGTCTCTCTATATATCGACACCCTATCTCTCAATATGTCTCCACTAAACATCTTTCCAAACAATATCAAAGTTTTATTGCAGTTGTTGATTCTATGAAAATCCCATCATATGTTGAAAAAGCATTGCAAAATAGAAATTGGGTCCAAGCTATGGATGAGGAAATGAGAGAACTTGAAAAAGAATAGTACTTGGGAGATTATTGAAAGGCAAAGAGACAAAAATCCAGTTGGATGCAGATGGATCTATACTGTAAAGCATAAATCTGATGGCACACTTGATCAGTACAAAGCAAGAGTAGTGTCAAAAGGTTATACTCAGACGTGTGGTATTGATTATGAGGAGATATTTGCCCCAGTGGCAAAGATGAATATTGTTCGAATTTTACTATCTCTTTCTGCTTCATGTGGATGAGAACTGCAACAGCTTGATGTTAAAAATACATTCTTGCATGGAGACTTAGAGGAAGAAGTGTATATGGAGATTCCACCGGGTGTTGGCATAACAAATGAAACTAACAAGGTGTGTCAATTGAAGAAAGCCTTATATGGACTAAAGCAGTCCCCTCGAACATGGTTTGGAAGATTCGCAAAGGCAATGATGTGTTTGGGCTACAAGCAAAGTCAAGGAGACTACACTTTGTTTTTTAAATATTCACAAGGAAGAAAACTAATTGTACTTCTTGTTTATGTTGATGATATTATTGTTACAGGAGATGATTTGACTGAGAGAAATTTGCTCAAAGAGAAATTATCAACAGAGTTTAAGATGAAAGACCTTGGGCAACTCAAGTATTTCTTAGGAATTGAGGTATCCTACTCAAAGTAAGGCATCTTTAACTCTCAAAGGAAACATGTGTTTGATCTTTTGCAGGAAATTGACAAACTTGGATGCAAACGTGCAAGTGTTCCCATTGAACAAAATCACTGGATAAGCTTTGAGGAGGAAAGTGACAAAGTTGACAAGGGTCAGTATTAGAGATTAGTGAGAAAATTTATTTACTTGGCACACGCTAGACCATATTTGACATATGCAGACAGTGTGGTGAGTCAATTCATGCATGATCTGAGGGTGGGATATTTGCAGGCTGTAGACCATGTTCTACAATATCTTAAAGCAACTCCAGGGAGAGGACTTTTGTTTAAAAGAGGTGGAAATATAACTATGGAGACTTACACTGATGCAAATTATGCCAGCTCAGTGAGTGACAAAAGTTCCACGTCAGACTATTGTACTTTTCTGTGGTAACCTTATAGCTTGGAAGAGTAAGAAGCAAAATGTAGTTGTTCGATCAAGCGCCGAGGTAGAATTTAGAGCTATTGCACTAGGAATTTGTGAACTATTATGGATGAAACAAGTTCTAGAAGACTTGAAGATACAATGTGAAGGCCCTATAAAATTGTCATGACAGTAAATCGGCTATTAGTATTGCTCATTATCCTGTTCAGCATGACAGGACTAAACACATTGAGATTGACCGACATTTTATCAAAGAGAAGTTAGATAGTAGAGTGATAACTACATCTTACATTTCTTCCGGGCATCAGTTGGTAGATGTGTTAACAAAAAGTTTACCAACAGAAAGATTCAGATGTCTTACTTGCAAGCTGGAAATGATAGATATCCATTCACCAGCTTAAGGGAGAGTGTTATAAATATTAGACTGTAAATAGTAATTGGTAATATTAGTAATGATGCCCATTAGTCAAAGCCCGTTAGGTTTTCTATTCTCTCTTATTTAAGTATGTGGTTACAACATTGTGTCTACAACTTTTATATATCAATGAAATATTTTACAATAATGAGAATAGTTTCGTGTCGATTATTGAGAAGTGGAGGTCGGGATAAGGGTTGATGGGGCAAGTAGGAGGTGGAGAAAATTTTGTTAGCTTAGGAAGAATAGCAAGTGGTGAAGTGTTGTTCTTTGTTCATATTTGACGTTGAAAACTTAATTTTGATGCATGTTGAGCTAATTGATTGTTCATATTTGAGAGGGATGATTTGGAATAAACCTGCTCCTTTAAAGGCTTTTCTTTTTACTTGGTGACTTGCTTCTAATTGAATTTTGTCAAAGGATGATTTGGCTCGTAGGGGTATTGTTCCTTCAGGTTCTGGTTGGTTGTGGCAAAGAAGACAATGCTAATTATTTATTTTTTGAATGTCAATTATTTGGTCTTATTTGGTTTCATTATCTTATATGGTTAAATATTTCTTCTTTGTTCCTAATTGCACCCATGAGCGTGCTTTTCAATTTTGTGGTGTTCATATTATTCGTAAAGAGATTCATAATTGCTTTTATTTGATTTAGTCGGTTGTGTGATGGACCATTTGAAATTTGAAAAGAATGTAATTTACTTATTTTTGACAATAAGAAATCGTCTCATATGAATTGTAGACAAATTAAAAGTTTTGGTTTGATGATGACTTAAGGCAAAGAATCTGAACTCTTGTTTAGACTTGAATTTTTTGTGAACTAATCTTTGCGCTTGTAATTAATATATAAGTTTATTCAGTTATAAAGTTAAACATAACTGAAACTCAAGTTTACTTAGCTTGAGGAGGTTTAAGCTAAATGTAAGGGGAAAAAAAAAAAACTAAACACTATTCTGAAAGAAGACGCATCCAACCTTGTTATTTCAGAAACTTTTAGCCGAAAATAAAAAAAAAAATTTTCCTTGATAACTACGTATAGATATATAAATATATATGTTGAAAGAAAGGTAGAGAGCATAGGAAAATAGACCACTAGAAACGTATTAGAAGCACAATCAGAAATTGCTTAATTTGCAAACTATCAAATGATGCATCAATACAAAACAACCAAAAAAAAGTATTGTTTCAAAAAGTACTTTCCTATAAATTCGCTGTATTAGGACCAATATAGACGTATGTATGTAGAGTTCAAAAACTAAATCAAAGAAAGAAAGACATGATGAATGACCACATTCTCCACATTCTCCACAAGAATCATGTTCTAGACCTCAATTTGTAGCTACACAATCAAGAATATTACTATGTATTGTCGTTTATGTTTTGAATCAAACGAACAATTCCATGAGGCATGGGACTATTTATATTTCCATCTTCATTGATCTTGGCATAGATTGTGATACAGCTTTCTCTTGCTCAGTAAGTGCATGACGGAAATGGCATCTATGGCCATACGGGCAGACAACCCCAGCAAAAACCATCCTACAGACCTCAGTTTTGTAGCGTGGGTGGCGAATCACCGGGCGAAGCTCCTCAATACCATGAGCGAATTGGCAGTGGTCAGTATAAGGGCATGCACCAGTTTCCTGCCATTTATTACACAGCTCAGTCTTTAACATCCCCTGATTATACACAGTCATCTCAAGAGGTTCTTCCTCTTTCTGCCCTCCTCGGACATATACCTTTTGCTGTAGCATAGAAACACAAAATTTCAACAATAATCAAGACATTGCAATAGTTAACAATAATTACAGACCCAAACAACTAAATGAAGAAAATTGAGTCCAATATGTTACCCCTGCATTACTTGTTACATGTAAAACCAGTCTAACCATTAAATTAACTACTTTTACACTTGGCAAAATCAATAGATTCTAGCTACAAAAAGTTGGAAATACAAATCACTACCAGCAGCACAGCTGTTTTTTATCATAAATATTTTAACAATTTGGAGATGTAGAAAATACAAATCACCTCTTAAGTATAATGTAGATATTGTGTGACTCATCTATTTTCTTAATCTAGCTAGTCTTCACTTAACTCTGGAGTATGCACATTGGCACATCACACAAATTAAAAATGTCACAAAGAGGCTTCAAAGTTTAATTATCTCATCAGATTTTCCTCATAGCATATTCATCTAATGTGGTCCGGCGACACTACTAACCAACTTGGTGGCAGCTAACAGGTAATGACACAGACAAGCAACTTTTACTTCATTTGGAAGGAAAGTAATTAAGCTACTAGCAAGCAGGTCAAGTTTGGTACATAACGAAAAAATAATAACAAATAATCATAAAATTACATTAAGCCTAAATGAAATAACAATAACCAAAAAAAATAGTAGTAGTAATTATTATGATAATAATAATAATAAATAAATAAAAGCAATCATGATGTGCGAGTGCTTACAGCTTGATCTGGTTGAGTGGAAGACGCACGAGAGCGGGGAGCGCCTTTGGTGCTGCGACAAGCATTATTGTTAGTTACGACCGCTGGAGGCTGAGCCACCTTCACGTAGCCTTTGGATCTCACAGAAATGCTCTTCGGCAGAGAGAACCGTTCCGCTTCATCATCAACATCGTTATCATCTATTACACTCGTTGAACTCTCATCCGAATCTTCTAGCAGCTCCTTATTATTATTGATGTTATTGTTATTGTAACCAGCACAGTTTTCTTTTCCATCTCCAAGATTCAAGCCACGGGCACAGTGCAATACATCTAACGGAATCGATTGAGTCTGAACGGAGGAGCCGCCGCCACGGCCAAGTCTGTTCTCCAGTGAAGCCTGAACTAGGAGGTTCAGATTCTTCTGCAAATCTTTGCTCAAAGCACGGAGCTCTTCGTTCTCTTGCTGCAGAGCTTCAACCTCATTGGAAGCTTCCATGAGGCGACTGAGACACATACTGTGACGATTCACCATATCCTGATGCTTCTGGATAACGAACGAGTCGTACTCAGTTTCAGAGTCAGAGTACGGATAAAGTGAAACGCCGCCGCTGTTGTTGCTGTTTCCGGATAGTGACGAGTTACTATTAGTCAGAGAGGAGTACAACGAAGCGAACGCGCCGGCGTTCAACTGCATGTTGCCGGCGGAGTTGAGGCCGATGCCGAATCCTCTTTGAGATGAGGGAGAACAAACGTCCTTATTATACATTTTGATCGGTGAAGTAATGCTGTAAAACCAGAAAACAAATCAGAAACGTGACGAGACGATCGATTATCAGAAATTCAGAATCATTTACGCATTGATTAATATTCACATTTTCAGATCAATAAATTGTAAATTCAAGAAACGATTTCACGATCGAAGAAATAACTATAAACATCATCGGTTCAAGAAAGTGTACAACTGAAAACGAAAATGCTAACAAATGAATGAGAGTATTCGAAGATGAATTAGGAGACATCGTTTACCTGAGAAGAAACTCGATCGTACGAGAAAGGATGAGAAACGAAGACAAGCTTCAACTTCACAAGGTGAGTTGAAGTTCTTCTACACAGAGAGAGAGAGAGAGAGAGAATTGTAGAAAGAGAAAAACGCTAAGAACTTGGAAGAGAGAGGTTGAAGAAAGAGATTATATAGTGGCAATGCGGAGGAGGGTGAGTTTGTTGCGAGGGAAAACTGTCTTCAACAAATTTTCTAACAGAATTTTCTTTCCGACTTTTTGCGTGTTTCGAAGCAGGGGAGGTAGTTTTCGTAATTATCCTTTATAATTTTGAAACAAGCGTGCATTCTTATGGGGCTTTTTGGGAATTCAGTTTTGTTTCTTCCTTGTAACTGAAACGTATCTCGTGTGTAGTGTACCAATGTTGATAATTAATCAGACGGTGGAGAAGTGAGGTTGGCTGTATGTATCGTTTTTTTTTTAAAATTAGTATAAATTGTGTTTAAATAATGATTTCATAAATAACATGAAGCACCACTAATGGGTAATGGGTCATTGCTATTTGATCATTGTTGTTCTTACTTTGTCATCATATAAAGAAAATTATTAATTAATTGTGATAGAGAGAAGCTCCAATTTCTCTCTAATTTTTGGTTACTTTTATCCATGATCCAATTTAGGGCTTTGATCCTGAACCCTAAAGCGAATAAAGGATGGACTGAAGTAAAACATAAAACAAATCAAAGAATTAACACCAGAGGATCATATTGGGCGGCTAGAAGGGGGAAGGAAGAACAGGCTGAAGACCAGGTTTCTAACTGCTTCTTCACTGAAATACCCGAGGACTATGGGGCGAAGAAGTTATATGAAGTATTTAAAGAATATGGATTGGTACTGTAAGTGGCGATTCCTCCAAAAAGAGACAAGAGAGGTAAAAGGTGTAGATTTGTTAGATTTGGAAAGGTCCTCGACAGTCGCTCTCTAGCCACACGGCGGAACAGTATTTTCATCAAAGAAAAGAAGATATATGCAAACATTCCACAATTTTAAAGAGGGAAGCAGGAGGGTCCTTCAAGGAGGGATGAGAAGGCTCAGATGGAAAGAAAGAAATAACAAAGCATCTTCAAGGGCGAGATAAGTAGTTATAAAGATCCAAAGGGTGGGAGAACTTACACACAAGTGGTGAATGATATTGAGAAGGGGCGAAATGCGAAACCAAAATCTGTGGAGAATAAGAATGGTGATCAGAACAGGAGGAGGACAACTATAGGGTGGGACAAAAGAGAGAAAAAAATCTACATTTGCTCACTTACAGTTTAAGGTAGAGGCATTGGAGTTGGCAAGATTCAAAAAGGCATATGTTGGGGTGGTGGAAACAGTTGGAATGACGTATAACATTCAAGAAGCCTTCACGCAGAAGGTTACTTTAGAGTCAAAATTACACCAATGGGAGATAATTTATGCTTGTTGGAAGAACAGGAAGAAGGAGAAATTAAGGCGCTGGTGGATGAAGCTAAGGATTGGGTTGTACAATGGTTCTATGATATTCATCCTTGGTCACCGAATGACGTGGATAATGAGAGATTAACTTAGATGAAATGTTATGGATTACCATGCCATGCATGGAACCCAATTTTTTTTTGAATTTTTATCTAGTCTTGTGCGTGCGTATGTATGCTCTGATGATGAAACTCGAGAACACACTAGGATGGATGTTGCGAGATTTTTGATAAAAACAAAGTCTTCAATTGTTTTGAATGAATCTTTCAATGTGGAAGTTAACAAACGTGTCTGCAAGTTAAAGCTTGTAGAAGATATGCACGAACCAAAACGTATAGTCATACCGAAGGAAACCAAGAAGGCAGATTTGGCGGCAGATTCATCATCAGAGGAAGATGCGGAGGAAGAGGGCGCATGGAGTGACAACGAGGTGGGGGGAGTGATGTTGGTGAAGCGAATAAGAGGAGAGATAATCACAGGTCACAATCTCATCATTCAAAATCTGGAGGTGAAAGTATAGTCACAAACTCCAAAAGGAAAAAGGCAGACAACTTGGTGGCAGAAACCTTGGTAAATTCAGAGGACAACGAGGAAAGTGGGAGTTCCAATAAAACTGGTGCAGTAAAAGAAAGAGTTTTAAACGTGTGGGAAAGGTCAAAATTTAATGTTGGTAGGGATGGGGAAGAAAAAAACCTCTTGTCAACAAGGGTAACAGGAGAAGGTGTCATACTCCAAATTTGCCTACAATGGTGTAAACAATCATTTTCTTTTAATAAGAACTATTGGTTCATTTTTTTTATTAATACTAATGTTTATTTTTATATTGACTTCTAAATTATCGTTTGTTTTAATAAAAGGGGGGGGGGGTTCAATTTTGGAGAGGGGTGTTTGTTTCATAATTCATCGAATAGAGCTTGTTATTCTTAAGTTTAATCTAATGGTCCATTAGACTTTTATGCCCATATTTAATTTTTTTAAAATACTATACAAAGGGAGGTGTTTTTAGTGAGTTGGATGGTCCGTTTAAAAACTTGGAAGAGGGCCCATTTGTTTGGATTAAGGTTGACTGGAGTCAACTATCCTCATGTATAATTCTGATTATTTGTTAGTGATTATTTATTCTAATATTGTTGTTATTAAAAAAAATACTATTTTCTTTTTAGGTTAAGTTGACCCAGAGTCAATGTTTCTTATATGATTAAATAAATATCTTTTTAATTTTTATTGTGGTTTTAATTTATTGATATTATGAGTTGTGTTGATTGAGGTCAACCAGAGTAAAGAAACCTTAGATTCAGCGGCGGCACTGTTTCTCTTCTTCCCTAAGCAAACTCGAAGCCTAGTTCCAGAATGAAAACAAATCAAATATTCATAAAAAATCAAATTTGGTGAAGTTATTTGTTTTTATTAACTAGAAACAAATTACAGATACAATTTCGGTCCAGATTCATCAACAGATTACAACTCTAAAAGAAAAGAAAATCAAAATCCTAAATCTAACCCATAATTCCTAAATCAATCTTCAATCTAAAATTGTAACAGAAATCACGATAATATTTTTTTAATTCATCTAAAATCTAACCTATAAATAAAATCCTAAAACTAATTGAAAACGGGAGGAAAAAATTTAGCATTGGAAAACCCTTGAGATTCCTGTTGTGGCATATCCATACCCTTCACTAAAGCTCCCCATCTTTAAAGATTTAGGGTTTCACAACTGAAACCCTAAGTTCTTTGAGCTTAGCCCCAATTTCTCGTACCTACAAAGAAGAATAGGAATAGATAAGAAGGGGATCACGTGAATAATCAGAGAAATTGAAAGCACAAAGATTCGCGGCAAGGAGGAAAGCCACATAGCTTTATAATTTGTTGTGATTGATGTTGTTGTGACGTTATGTTTGTTTGAAATTATTTGAGATCTGAAACTTAGGGTTAGGGTTTAGGTGATTTGGTATTATGGGTATATGGATTTGCTTTTTTAGGTTGAGGAAGAATTTTCCAGTTGATCTTCAATTGGAAAACACCAATCTGTGGGGGTTGGTGTGGCGATTGTGGGGGTGGGTTAGAGAGAAGAGAGAGCTCTTAGAGAGCGAACAAGGTACAAAGAGAGGGTGAAAAAACAAAAATGAACGAAATCTGAAGAAAACTAAAAATATACTCCCTCTGTGATGTTACCAGATTGCAACACATGGCCACTTGCAGGCCACGTGATTGGGTTGCTGAACAGCAATCCCATGCATTGCGTTCCACATGGTCCCTCAGTAAACTTTGCATCATAGTCGTCTGATGCGTTTACTTTGATAAAATGCCCTAAGTTAACATCAGGGGGCCACACGATCACCACCAAACGACTATAGTAATGCAGCCTATGATAAGCCCATACGCTCACCCTCACGAGATCTAACTGACTCCACAATATTTTATCTTTGGCCTCAGGCCCGTTCCTAATCGCACCCCAGCTTATTTCTTTTACTATTATTAGCCACAATTCATACCCCCTATACAATTGGATTATAAACAAACTATGGGCCTAGGCCTTTACTTCCCACGCCTCCAGTTTTTGCTATTGCGTTCAATTTTGCACCCCCTGCGTTTTGGGCCTAAATCCAATATATGGATTTAGGGCCCTGTTAATTACACCCCCAGCCTTTTACTAACCAACTAATTTTGCACCCGGTGCGTTTTTTTAAAATCAATTTATTTTTATAACTTTATTTATTTATCTTCTATTATTTTGCATAATTAATATTTAAATGTTAAATATATTTATGATAAATTCAAAATTTGTTTATTTATTAATTCCAATTCTTTTTTTAATACTAACTCATTTTCTTTATACTTTAATTGCAGTAAAATTCTTTTCTTCATGCATTAAAAATATTTATTTTCCTGATATTATACAATACATTCGAAAATATCTAACTGACAAATTACTAATAATTTTCTACTAACTTAATTAAAACTTATATATATTTTCAAAAAAAGGATTATGGAAACATATTCTATCGACTGCGAACTTCGTCTAGCAACTTCAAAATTTAAAAACCCAGACTTGGTTCAAGGAGAATACGAGATATTTTTGTAATCCATAAAAAACACTAACCAAACAATTATGAACTACGAATTGGGACTCATATTTCTCATAAGAGGATACGTAGGCGTACGATTAAAATCGTGGCGAGTTCTCCTAATAAAAATTAAAACCCTATTTCCTGAATTGTAAATCTAAACCCTAATATCCTTGTGAACAATGTAGATGAGGGGTGCC